GTCGAAAACGGCTTCCCGGCCAGTGTCACGGTGAGAAGTTATTTCATATCAATCTGTGTGTTAAGAGTGTACATGTTTTTTGCTTGGCTGTTTTCTGTGGAAGGATAATAAAGGACACTTATTACTCCTAGCAGTGACAGCCTCCTCTGTGTTTTATTTTTCCTTCTGGTCTGAATATCTGTGCCGACCGTTTCACGAGCCCTTTTGATAAAGAATTTCATAATACACCATGTTTCTTCAGGATCGACCCCAAAGGGAGCAGATAGAGTGAAAATAAAAGGGGTCCAAGAATCGAGCCCTGTGGGACCACACAAGAAAGAGGCACTGATGCAGATACACTATTTCCAACCTTAACACAGAAAATCCTGTCACTTAGGTAAGAACATAACTATTCTAATGCTGCACCCGTAATCCCAACCAGTGTTCTAACCTCAATATAAGGATACTGTGGTCAACAGTATTAAAAGCAGCAGTAAGGTCCAGGAGTACAAGTATCGTAAACTAAGCCCCAAGCATTTTCCACTATAGAACTGATATTTTTGTGCATGACTAAAAAAGAAAAGACTAGCTTAACAAAGAAGTTAGCTTTAAACGCTCACATTTTGACAGCAACATAGTAATGCCTGACACATTTCTTGTTGGCCTCATGACATTTGAAGCACCAAACCCTGACAATTCAAGATGCAATCAAAACAAAATAATTCTATAAAAGTGCTTAATAACTGAGCCAAGAAAGTTGTTAAGATTGTGGCAACAAACAGCCTCATTATTGAAAACAAATTATAGTGAATCACACCCATTTTCATGTAATTAGCACCCAGAGTAAGAGAGCGAGCAGCTGGAGTCACCTAATTCTTGCTGATATAACAAAGCCCATCGTAACACCTGTAACCGTAACAACAGAACGGCAGCTCCACTCAACAATTTACAAACCTCTTTGGGTTTTTCACGTCTAAAAGGAAATGGATGAACGTAGCTATTTGAAGACCATCTTCTCGGGTACATTTGATCCATCCTGTTGACACAGTGACAGTCTACCTGTGCTGATTAATGTGCTTGCTGTTCCTGCTGTAAGATGGAATCTGGGTCAATGGGGGAGGTGAACAGTCCAGCCAGGCCATAAAACAGATACGAACACAGAGATGGCAGATTGAGAAATCTTCTCACACCTTCACTACCCACACACACACCATATGGTAACCTATATAGTTGGAGATGTCCACTGATCAAACTGATATGAGAAATTTTGGATAGAATTCACCCTGTTACAAAAAACAACTACATTGTTCTATATTTAAAGCTTGATTTCCTTCTAATGTTCAACATTTTAGGTAATAAAAGTTTTAAAAGTCACACGAGCATGTTTCTTTCATGCAAATTTGCATCTAGCAACAAAAGATGGATTTAAGATTAGATTTGAAATAGCACCATGATTTCAAAATTTGCCCGAAGTTCTTCACTGAAGGAAGAATAAACAAACCTTCTGAAAACATCTTAATAAATATTACACAAACCAAAAGTTACCAACTGGCTTGATTTTGTTGGTTTTACTGGTTGCAATGAGACTGTTTAGGACCTGCCAAAAATTTTCGTGTTTTCCAAAAGCTTTCCAAAAACCATGTCCAAGATTCTTCTGCCTAACGAACCCTCCAATGCCTAGACGTTAAGAACTGTGGAGGAATGGCTAGATTTCTTAAAAATATCACAGAAATAAAAATCAAACTCAAAAGAAGAGGAAATGTTTCTCCCAATGTCCAATTCTTTTCGCTAAATGTGTAAAAAAAAAAAAAAAAAGCTTATTATTTCAAAGTTTAAACATGTTTCATGTTTGTTTCTTTGTCCCATGAAGAATAAAATTCAAGCTCTTTTTAAAATTAGTGTTAATTTGCAGCACAATCACCTACAGATTAATTAGCATGTTTTGATTGGTTGTCACTGCATTGTACTTGGTTGGTAGTGAAACCTTTGTCACAAGGTACCTTAAAAGGATAGCTCAGATCTTTTGTAGTAGCTTTCTGTGGAAAGCTGACGAGCAATTAATATCACGTGTTGTACAGAGGTCTCTAAATGCCATGGATTCATGTGATAACAGGTACATTTATTTATTTATTAACCTTTATTTAACCAGGCAAATCCCACTGAGATCACAGATATGTTTTGCAAAGGAAGCCTGGGCCGGAAGGCAGCCTAACATGCATGTTTTTAGAGTGTGGGAGGAAACTGGAGTACCCGGAGAAAACCCACACAAACACAAGGAGAACATGTAAACTCCACACAGAAAGATCCAAGGTCCAACTGAAGCCAGAACCTTCTTGCTGGGAGGCAGCAGCGCTAACAACTAAGCAGTTGTGCTCCCCAAGTTTAAGTGTTGCTGAGAGTAAACTGGAAAACAGTAAATGCAAATAGTAGGAGCAGCAGCTAGCTGTAGCTTAGCTGTTCACAAGTGTGATGTTCTACAAGTAAACACCCAAAATAAGCATATTATAATACCAAATATATGCAGTAAAATGCACACTGGTAATGCATGTCATCTGATTAAACTGTCAGTATCTACAAAAACGCAATCATGATGCAATGTGTGCTGCACTTTATTTAGACCTGTCTTTTTATCTAGACCTGTATAAAGCTTTTGACACTGTGGACCATGACATCTTATGTTTTAGGCTCTCAGAAATTGGTTTCTCAGAACATACCATTGGTTGGTTTACTAAATGTTTTTCAGATCGGAGGCATAATGGTACGTCTTCCAGTTATTTAACGTTTAACAATGGTGCACCACAAGGCTCAGTTTTAGAACCCACCCTCTTCACAATCTACATAGATAATGTAGGTAAATGGTAAATGGACTGTATTTATAAAGCACTTTTCTATCTTATTTCAAGATACTCAAAGCGAAGGTCAGATCATCCCTGATGTATCTTTACATTTTTATGCTGATGATAGTTGTTTATTGTCGAGCTAAAACAGTTGCTAAGGCAATCTGCTTTAGACATCATCCAGTCAGATTTGTATTAAAACTTGTCCTAAACGCCGACACAACCAAAGGGGTGCTGTGTTCAAACAGGAAGTCGGTCCCAGCAGTCCTTCCCTTGGTTTTATCTTCGAATGTTGTTCCTACCGAGTTTGTCGATTCCTACAAATACTTGGGTATCTTGGTCGATTCGCATCTTTCTTTTAAGCTCCACGTCGAAAATTTGTTAAAGAAACTGAAAATTAAACCGGGTTTCTTTTTCAGAAATAGATCCTGTTTAACTCTGAATGATAGGAAACATCTTGTAACTGTGACTTTCCTTCCCTCCATTGACTACGGTGACATTATTTAATGTACATGAATGCCCCCACAAGCACCTTTCAGATGTTGAACGTTGTTTATCACGGTGCGCTAAGATTCATAACTGGCTGTAACTACCGTACCCACCATTGCACCCTGTATTAACTGGTTAACTGGACATCATTAACTTCACACAGACTTGCTCACTGGAACATTTTCATCTTTAAATCACTTCTTGGTCTGCTGCCTTCATACATCTCCTACATGTCTCTGCGTGAGTGCAGCTACAGCGTGCGCTCTCAGGACATTATTACCTGCAGTGTTCCCTCAGTGAGGACTGAACTTGGCAAAAGGGCCATCTCCTACTCCGCTCCCGTTTCCTGGAATATCTTGCAAAAAGATCTGAAGCTCTCAACCTTGACCTCTCTAAGTGGCTTCAAACAACTGCTAAGTTCTTGGCAAAAACCAATGCAGACATGTTCCTGTTTTTAGTTTTCTAAATCGCTTTACATTGTAGCTGTTTTTGTTTTGCTTTTTAATATAATTTTCTTTCATTTATTTTTCCCAATTTATATGCTTTCTTTTATGATTGTCTACTATTATCATCATTCTTTTTTAAAATCAGGTCTCTCTTGTAAATGAGTCCTCGAGGGTCAATAAAACTAACATGTATAAATACAGGTTGAATAAATGCTGCTCCATCCACCATTTTTGCAAGATTTAAGCAGTTCTACAAGTTTGCACAGTTATACAATAAGTGCTGGTATATAAATTAGTTTTACCCAACTCAACAATAGCAACGTTATTTAAATTTAAACAGATGTTGCACTGATGAAATCTGTTTTATTTTTCAGTAATTAGTACTTGGACATGCATTTCCTTCTGAATTCATCAGGAATTGCTCCAGCACCCTCCGCACCCACACTTCCCACAACATTGCTTCTTATTAAAACCAAGCAATGTCAGTACTGAATTTCAAAATATAATTTGTACCAAAATACAACTAAATTTGAATAGCAGTACCTTATTTTCTGAAAAAATGCACATAAATTCTTACATTAACAAACAATTTTGGCAAGAAACCAAAGAAAGGGAGTTAATAAGCCACAAGGCAACCAATAAAATGCCCTAATATCTTTCTTTGTTACCTTCTTAAGTGTTTTTGTGGAACAGTACGATGTGGGGTTTTGTGTTAGAAAATCAACACGTTTTTAGTCCATTCTCTGTAAAACCAACAATAACACAAACTCCTACTGTTTTGAGCCTCTGCTCTGTCAAAGAGGCTGATTAGGGTGACGTCTGACGCAAAGATAAACGGAGCATGAGGTTCATTTGAGACTCATGTGGGGGGGTGAGGAGAAAAAAGTGACATCCTTAACTTGGAAGGGAAGATGCTGTTAAAGACAAACAAGCAGTTTACAAAACAGTCTGAGCTGGGGAGACATTTCCCTCAGGTCTTTAGCAGATGTTACTTATGTTTGGGTTGTTGGAGATTCTCATTTGGAAAGAAGCAATCTGTTCTCCATAATAAAAACTAATTAGACCCATAAGATTTTAAAGTTATTAATTTTGTTGGACTTGAAATCTATATCCAAACCGGAAGATCTTCAATTTGATCCCAAAAGATATAACATTGATTTGTTTTATTATTTTTAATATTTACATTTCCTTTCAGCATATGAATCTACATTTTTACGTATTTTTACAAAGTGGTGTTGTGGTTTCTTACCTCCTGTGTGCGACTGCTCTCCCCAGACTCTGTCAGCAGTTTGATGGGGGTAGAGCGCTGGGACACCGAGCCCTCGTCGTCCCGGTCCTCCTCAGAATCATCCTCGGATGTACTGGTGATGGCCTCCTCACTTGGAGGAGGAGGCGCGCTGGCTGCAGTCTTCCTTTGGAGAATTGTCTCCTCCTTGCTGCTTTTTCTGTTAACATAAACACAGATGGATATACAGTAGATATGTCAAAATGCAAAGAAAAACATAGAATCAATGCACTGTGACATGCAGCGCTGCTCATTCAGCTACATCAGCATCCAATAAATGTCGTCAGGGCTTAACGAATCAGAAAATGTCTGCTTAAATCATTTATTACGGTTTCAGAAAGCCATAAACATTCATGCTGCTCTCAACAGATATTTTTTTAAGTAAAACAGTGAGTCAGCACACAATATTAGTCAGGTCATGCATATGTACTTGCGGAAATGTTGGGCAGCAACAACACAAAGATAACTCAAACCCAACAGCACATGAGGCTGGAACACCTAAATGGAGGCTCGGCTTTTATCTTTTTCCGAGTAATGTTTGCATGCATTAGTATTTATTTAAAAAATACATGCATTCAAGGAGATTTATCAATGTGTTCGCTCAACAAAAACATGAAAAAGGACAAAGCGCTATTTTTAGTTACCTGAGAGCACAGTGACTAATAAGGTTGTGTAGAAGGGCACAGTGACATGGGGATTTACCACCCACACAAAAACAACCAACTCCCCCAATAACATCCCACTGAAGTTCTGACATCAACAATAGTTAAGGAAGCACTCACCCCAGAACTGATTTCCCCGTTTCCTCTGGCTTGCGAACCGTGAACGGACTTGGATCCACTCCCACCGACTTTGGCATAAACTCTCTTTACAAGCACAAATATAAAGAAAGCTCATTAACAGACATCTGGCTTGACAATAACAATAAAAAACAACGAGTGCTTGTTATATGAAGTTATGACAGTAGGTTAGACCATTAGCTTCTGAGACATTTTGCACGTGGGTACCTGGCAGAGTTGGTCATGGCAATACAGAAAGTGTCATCGAAGAAGGTAAGCTCGTAAGGTTTGAAGAATTCCGTGTAGGTGTCGATATTTTCATCAAAACGGTTCAGTCTCTTCACTTTCACCTTCTTCATCGTGTCTTCACATGTGACTGCACCGAGATGCCACAGAAAAAGACAAACAATTTACATTTATCTATATGAAAAAACTGAAAGTGCAGTAGTCCCTCGCTACTTCACGGTTCGACTTTTGCGGACTCACCGTTTCGCGGGTTTTCAATGTAAGATTGGACACGGCACACGATTGGCTGATTGACGGAAGGCGACCAACCAGAGCATTGTGCTCTTACTAATTGGCTTTTATGTATGTGAATGTTCATGTAAAGTGCCCTGAGACAACTTTGTTGTGATTTGGGGCTATATAAATAAACTGAATTGAATTGTATCTCAAGCGCTGACTGGCTCAGTAACTGTAGCATCAGTGTGTCTGCTCTCTTTCACTGTGCTTTCACTAAAGAGTTTAGAACATTGTTAAGAACAATACAAGAGTGTGAGAAGGGTTTATAAAGCCTTAAAATATATATAAATACTAAAATAAATATAACATCCCTACTTCGCGGATTTTTGCAGGGGTGTATGGAACGTAACTCCTGCGATAAGTGAGGGACTACTCTATTTAAAAATCTCATAAAAATCTTTATTAAAAATTGTTCTGTTTTACAGTGTTACTACTGCTACACTAGCACAAATAAAATAAAATCACAAATTTAGGTTTGTCTTCTGGTAAAAACAATATATTTTATTATTACAACAACTAATATAATCTCTAGTTTTGATGTTATTCCAACATATTAAATATGACAATCATCAATCTTCTTTGACAGTGATATAAAGCATATAAAATACCACTATATAAATTTTTGGAACAGTAAGAAAAAAAATTATTTGTTTAAAGTGACAAGTGATGAAGTAGCAGATTTTAAATGGAGCATCTTTTTTGTGGGATAAAACTTTAACTATGTTGTGGGAATGTATAATAGGTGCCAAGGGGTCATTTCAAACCTAGAGCTAACCCTAGGAAATGGGATTCACCCTAAAGCAGGATTTTACCATACAAAAACAAAGCTGGGTGGATGTGGCATCTGAACAAATTTCTCTGTGAATATGTTTAAAACATTAAACGGAGTGAGTGGATTTGCAAGGCTCTAAAACAACACAAATCAGCCCTGCGTTTTCTAAAACATTCACTAAATACAATTATCGCAGAGCTTCAAAAAATACTCATCAGCAAATGTCTTTTGGCTTTTCCCCAGTTATGTTTCCCAAAATTTCAAATACAGTAGTCCCTCGTTTATTGCGGGTTTTCCGTTCTCAGTCCGCCCACGCCAAGTGAAAAACTGCTAAGTAGGAATATTAGTACAAGTAGTAAGTAGTAGTTTATTTTAGTACATATACATATATATATGCACACACATATATACACACACATCTATATATATATATATATATATATATATATATATATATATATATATATACACACACACACACACACAAAGGTGTTCTAAACAATGTTCCTAAACTCTAAACGCTCTAAAAGAGGACAGCATGTCCTGATCTCCGCTCTCTCTGCCATCGGCTGTTCTCAGCCACGCCCACTTCTCCGCTGCCGTGCGGAGATGACATGCTGCAGGAGGGAGTTTCTCCTTGCGCACATGGGCTGCAAACAGGTGCAGCAGGTGCTAAATAATTTAAAACAATTTATTTTAAATAAAAAATTCCATGCCGATCTTGCGGCTCATCCATCAATCAGCCAATTGTGTGTCATGTCCAATATTACTTTGAAAAACCGCGAAAGAGCAAATCTGCAAAAGTCAAACCGTGAAGTAGCAAGGGACTATAAAAATAATTTTTCCTTTAAATAAAAAAATATATATATATCCATTCTTGACATGTATGAGAGACATTTTGGCTTCAGACAGTAAAGTAATGACCAATCCAATATATGACGACAACAAAAGTTGTGCTTTGTCTTAATAGAAATGCTGCTTGTAGTAAATGTACACACGTCGTTGGTCACATTAATAATCAACTCCACTTTAACTTGACCTTAAAATGTAAAAACTTTTATGACACCATTTTGCTGCTGTATTATATATGTTGACGATACCTTCATCATAGGGAACAGGAAGGTAGGATATGACTCCGTCTGACCACCACAGGGTGTAGCTGAAGACAGAGAAAAAATATATACATTAAAGGAGAACATTTTATACTGACTGATGTGCTCTCTGTTGTCTGCACCGTCTCATCTGAGGCTTCGTTTAACCTAGATATGAAAATTGTCAGTTATTGGCCACCTACTGCACAACACCTGAACACAACACACTCTTATTCAACACTAGGAATGAATGAATGCATTTACAGTGATTTTCTTTAGTGTGTTCTGTGCTACTTAAGCCTGTGCAAGAGCAGAAATGCAATATGTGCTTGCCAAATTGAATTCAGCTCCAGCCATGCTAATTTCTTGGAATAATGAGGAAGGTTCCTGGATCCATTGTGGTGGCATAAACTAGTGGTCTGTGAAAGAAAATTAGGTCTACTTTTGTGTAAGCATGAAATCAAATGGAAAGCAGGAAACATGAACACACACTTGTATACTTAAACACACACACACACACACACACACACACACACGTTAAAAGTTTCTGGGTCAAAAGCTGAAATGAAATGCCAGCTTGTACAAAAGTGTAGAATTGCAATTTGTACCTTGTGTAAACCTTGTATTCAATTAAAACTAATAAAAACCTAACAAATATGAACAATGACACTTTTTTTAAATAATGTTCCATCAGCTACACAGTTAGAAGGACAAGGAGATAGTTAGAGTGAGGACAGAGAATGCAGAGGACAGAGTGACATGGAGGAGGATGACTTGCTGTGGCAACCCCTGAAAAGCTGTTACCTTTCAGACAGTCAATATCAACCTACACTTCTAACTCAATTGTGATCTGGACAGTTGGGATCTGGAATCAGTTCATGAGGGCATTTAACTCTACAGAGTTACTGTTTGTGGCACCTGTGACAAATAATCACGTTTACTCCCTCAGTAGCTGATACAGCTTTTGACGCCTGGTATTTGAAGGGAGTACATTCACTATATGAATGTATAGTAATGTACGGTATATCAAAAAAGAGTTGATGGTAAATTTGCCTCTTTTGAGCAGCTTGTACTAAAGGTTAATATTCACAAATCACAATTTTTCAGATATCTGATGGCGAGACATTTTGTGAGGTCTAACTCTTTTTACCTCTCTAAATATTTTGTGGCTAAGATTTCGGATTGTAGGTCTGATACCAAGGGGGCCCTTAGTACCGTAAGATCTATACACTGCTCAGTTCATATCATGAGACCAGTTTGGACTCCCTTAAACTGAGATGGAAAATGGACTTGGAGGAATCCATAAGACTCAATCTGGGGAAAGATCATTAAGAACATTTATTCATCTTCAATCTGTCTGAGACATGCTGTAATTCAAGGTGATGCACCGGCTACACTGGCCCAAAGACAATTTGTCCAAGATCAAAGTTAACTTGGATCCCGCATGTAATTACTGTAAACAAACTCCAGCTACACTCCTGCATTACAATCTACATTCTGGACCTGTCCCAAACTGCAGACCTTTTGGCAATCTATATTTAACACCTTCTCTGTGATATGTGGAAAAACTGTAAACCCATAACCATTCATCTCACTGTTTAGGATGGTCCTTGTGGATACGTCCTTCAGCAAGTGCAAGAAGGATGTGGTTGCTTTTGGCTCTCTTCTGGTTAGGAGACTTGTTTTATGCAATTGGAAGGACCAAGCATATGTACATTGGATAAGAAAAGTCATGTATCATATTCATCTGGAAAAAATAAGATATATCCTGAAAGCTAGGCCGGTCGCAATAAACAATAAATCAATTAATCACATGATAAATGAAAATTACTGACCTCATTTTTATTTATCAGCTTTAAAGTTTCTTCATGTCTCTCAGAAAGCTCAATTCTGGTACTTTTCGCTGACCCCTCCCTTTCTCTTTAAAATCCATTTTAACCATCCAAAATCACATTTTTGGATCATTAAAAGCACAAACATAAATAATGTCTATGGTTAAAAGCAGCTAAGCTACGAGCTAAGCTAGCAGGCCAACTTTGGGGAAAAAACCTCTATCTTGTCGAAGCTCCAAAATTCACAGTTGAAACCCATGCCTTTGTCTAAAAAGTTGTTTTTCTCTGCCAAAAGAAACTGAGAACTTGTTTAATGATTTTTTTATTAAAAGCTCTGTGTGAAAATGCTATGCTAAAGAGCTCAAACCACACCGAGCAGCCGCCATTTTGAGAACAGAAGAGAAACAGTCCATGTCACGTCAAGGGGCCTCCCTCCCATTTTTCTTAGAGGCACGCTGTTAGCTCCCTTACATCCATCCTTCAGTTCAAACAATCTTATACTGCAATCCGGTGGCTGAAAAAAGGTACTACACACAAAACAAATGAAACATTTCTCCTTACATTTGACAATAATTAGTAATTATTGTCAAATTTCAAACAATATTATCCTTATCGCAATCATTTATGAGACAATTAATCGCCCAGCAAAATTTATTATCGTGACAGGCCTACTGAAAGGTTCTGTTATAAGATTTTGGGACACCTGGCAGCCTTCAGTGTTATATGTTGAAAACATTTCTATACCTGCATAAGTAATTTATGTGCAAGTGACTGATCTGGTGTGGGTGGGGAGGGCAGGAGGGGATTTGGTTCTGTGTTCTCTATTTTAAAAAAAATTTTTGCGTTTGTGTAAAAAACAAAAACAAAAAAATAACTATAAGACTTTGATTGAAAATAAAAAAGTTTGATTGTCTTTGTTAAGAAAATAGTCTTGGTGGAAGCAGCACTTCCTAACCTTTGTGTGTATGTGGTGTGCTGCGCCGAGCACAGTTTGCTGCCACGCAGACAGGTCGTGCACGCACAGAGCACAGGACAGCACCTCAGTGCATCCAGTCAGAAGAAAACACATACATTCTGTAATTTATTGGTGAGGTTCTGCTGACTGGGTGATCACTCTTCAGCCTTAATTTGTTTTTTATTTTGTTCTTTGTGCATCTCTCAGCATTCTGAAATGAGACACTTTCTATATTTTCTAGTACTCAACTTGGATTTGGTCTGTGTTTGTGTGCCCTTCTCACCACACATCACATGCTGTCCTATCTAAAAGGAGTACAGCAGTCTTCATATACTGTACCCCTCTTCTGCTGTAAGTTAATCAAAACATGAGCACTCTTCAGGATGACAAATGATGAGTGATTGGTGACTAGCATACCGGTCCTGTATATATTTGTTGTTTGGTCCATGTATTTAGCGTAACAAGCTAAAGACTAATCAAGGAAAAGCTAAAACGAAAGTGGATTGCTGCAAACATAAAACAACTCCTAACTCAAAAATGAATTTGTGATTTGTATGTATGTATATTATTTAAATCTTTAAACTGCTGTCGGTTTCACATGTCGTGTTTTTTTTCAGGGAGAAATGTGATGAAATTCCAACCCGAAGTGCCCCAAGCTGCACTGGAGGAGTTACAACTAGCTGCTGCTGCCACCATTTGCTCTTGCAATTACCCTCATAATTCTGTGTACATAATGATGTAATGGTAAACTGACGGTGATATAAACGGTGGTAAAATAGTGTTTGCATGAATTGCTACATTAGTGAGATGGAAGTTTTAAGATGGCAGCAACTCGTTTTGGTTTTAACCTTACTCTATCTAGCTATTAGTTTGTCAATCTGGTCAAAATTAAACATTTTTCTCAAAAGTGAGGCTGCTCAAAGAGATGTCTACAACAGGTAAGATAATGTTTGTTCGTAATCTTTCCTCAGAACTTAACATCAAAAGGTCTGAATTATTGCTTTAATGCCAGCCCAGCTACAACCAGCTCATGCAGAGTAAGCTGCTGTTTGATTTTTTTTTTTTTTTTTTTTTTTTACAGTTTTCAGGAAGTGTGCAGATGTAGCAACTAATGATTTTTACTGTCAAGGTTTCCAGACATCTTTCTGAACCCCATCAGTGATTTTCACCAGAGAAGTGGGTAAGTTTGTTCTGCTTAAAGGACAGAAAACAGCTGTCGTTCAACTGTGGATTCCAGTCTTGTAAATTGCACACACATGTCTAAGAATTGTTTAAAATTTATTGATTTTGATGGCTTTTACTTCAAGGAAAAAAGCAGCATACATTTATTTGTATAATACTTTGTGACTCATTATTCTTGTGTGAGGGCTCATTTTTCCGAGAAGTCACTGCCCTTTAGCTGTATTTTCACAGTTTCTTCATCGGGACCCGGAGCCTTTCGGCTGGATGTGATTGCAGAACAAGAGGTATGTTAGAACAAAAAAAAAAAAATGGAGCCATTGTTATCTTCTGCTTTCTGTTTGTGTCAAACACCTGTGTCTGTTTGGTCAGAGCTTAATCCCATTAGTGCATAAATAAATAAATAAATACATAAAACTTTCACATAAATCCAGAAATGTAGCAGTTTAAATCAGTGCCGTAAATCTTCAGGCATTTACATTTGTAATTATGATTCAACATACAAATAACAAGATATTATTTCTGACTCAATCCTTTTTGTTTGGTTAAATAAGTTTCAATTAACAGTTTAGTAACGCTTTCACTTTTTCTGATGACCATGCATTCTGTAACATACATTATTTGTTTCTGTCCACTCATTTTGCAGTTTTTGATCAATTTTTTTTTTAAACAAATGAAAATGAGTTGTTAGTATTTAGCCTATTTTTGTCTTTCTGGTTCTGTCCTCTTTAAGGCAGTTTGCGAAGCTTTCGGTGCTTTAATACAAACCTCCCTGCCATTTACAAACAGGAACTGCAGTAATGCAGATCAAAAAAATCTGTCCATTAAGCTCAGGTCAACACTCTGGCTTCCTCGGCAGATTATAGAAGAAGCCAAATTAAATCCTATAGCAAAACTAATAAATTCCACATACTGTACACACACTCTTGAAGAGCCTCAGCATTCATGATGGACATGAATACAGTCTAGTCTCTAAAAAACAGCGGTGCAGCTGCTAACATTTTAATGAGCAAAAAAAAGTCAAAGAGAACAATTGAAAGAGTTTCATGCATTCAGGATTATTATTTTTTGAATAAACAGATTTGGACACATTTTCCAAGTACATTTATGTTAGTTGGCTGCGATCTTTGTGTGTACGTTCTGTAAGTGGTTATATATTTAGAAATGCACTCGTGTTTGTACCTGCGTCTGTTGATCGGGAGGGCCATGGTGCTCGTCTGATGCAGGTAAAAGTCAGTAGGCAGCTCCCAAAGGTGCGGCTTGTTCTCTGACGGCTGGTAAACTTGGAGGAACAAGTTGATGGAATCTTGTCTGTCTGCGTCTGGAGAAGTCAAAGACATAATAAAAATATATTTATCCATTTTAAAACATTAAGGTAGTTAATCAAATCTTCACAGTAATGGATTTGCGGCTTGTGTGAAGAAATGTGCCGTGCGGTGAGCACTCAGGCTCAATGCTGTGTGAGCTGAGCCGCTGGACACAATTTCTGAGAATCGCAGGTCACTTGTGGCTCTTGAAACTCGCTGGTGGAAAAGAATCAACCTTGGAGAAGCTACAAGCTCAACCCGGTGGTGCTGACCACAGAATTTGGCTGTTTGGAGTCACCATTGAGACTTACTATAAGAACTATAAGGCAGACAGAAATCAAGCAGAGTCGGCCTGACCCAAAATAACTGTTATCTGATTCTGATTCCTGTGTCGGCCTTGAATTGGACAACTATCTCAAACTCTCCTGGATGTTACATAAACAAGAAGCCCCCCCCCCCCCCCCCCCCTCCACTACTCGCTCTCTTCCCGAGGACATCTGTGGACCTGTGTCAGAGCTGAGCCGGCTGATAGACACTGCACCATCTTATCAGGACTTTTACATTAATAGTATAGTGCTCATAAAGAGAAAACAACATCTTGACATTTATTAAAACAAAATACAGAAGATGACTCATTTCTCCTTTTACCGTTTTAAGGTGAGTGTGTACGTGTGGTTTGGTGGGAGGGCTGTTAGTGGGCGGGGGCTCAAGTCAACCTTACAAGATTTCACTAACAAAATAAAAACTACTTTATGACATTCAAACTGTGTTCATCTTTAACAACATAATCTGAAATCCTTCTCAAGCAATTATATTCCAAAAACTAACCTCTTATATAAAAATAGAAGTAATATCCATCAAAACTTCAGGTGATGTTTTGCAGATTTAAATCTGAAATCTCAACCCAGAAGATTTAAACCCGATTATTTATTTATTTTAATTCGACATGAATGAAGAAAAAAAAACACCCCATCTCTTCTTTTATCTCCATGTGTAACTCCTACCTACTTGAGTATCTTGGCATACCACACTTATTAATGACATCTTAGTAAAACTGACTCATTGAACTTCCTAATTGTATCAACAGAAAATGCATCTGTGAAGTCTGTTTGTTTAGAAGAGTGCTCCAAGATAATTCCCATGAATGTTTGAATGTTTAACAAGTGGCACGTGTTTTGCATGCTGCTCACTGTGGTGCCACTTAATCCACCGTCCAACTGTGAAGCCACGTGCCCGCTGCTCCGGCACTGATGTGGGATAATTAGAAGTTAATTTGAGGCCTATTAAAGCATGCCACGAAGCTTTTTCTCTGGATAATTTTCAGCCTGAGAGTCATTTGGTATACTACCAAAGAGTTAAGGATCATCTGTAAACATTGCATACAGTACACGTGCAACAAGTTGATTATGTAAAAAACTCTGCTTAGAACATGGATAATGAAAGGAAATGCACATGTTAAGAACGTTTTTTTTTTTTTGTCTTATTAGAACAAGAATTCATTTAGAAATGTAAATGCACCTAAACTACAAAAGCTCATAAACAAAACAGCAACTCGTCTTGTGCATTTGTGTCTCAAACAAGTCTGAGTCAGTAAATGGTTGTCAGGATTCTTGGAAACGATGTAAAAGCATGCACAGCTTAAAAAGAGACATTACTGTGTGCTTTTGTAAAAACACAGTCAAATACATCTGTTTTTGAAAGTAATGCAAAGCAATACAAGGCCTTGATAATACAACGTAATTGTTTGCTGCAAAGTTCTTATGCAACATCGGTGAACAATAATAAGTGCTCATCCTAATTGCTTGTCAGTTACACATAGTGAAGTTATTACTGTTAGTGAGACTTCTGAGAAAATTGTCAGATATAAATTACCGTTCTACTCTGAATAAAACAAACCATACAGAAAAGAACGTAAAATAGTCAGGAACGGAACAGAATGTATAACCATGAGTTTAAACTAAGCAAAATAGGTGATTTTGTTCTGTAAACTTTGAATATAAGGGTAAGGGCTGTTTTGCCACCACTTCTAAACTGAGTTGTGTGTTTGTGGTGAGCCGTCTGTCCTGCTTGCTGTTCCTACGTTAACGTTATTTTAACTTGGGCAAGAAGGACAACTAAGTAACGATATCCCTGCGCCTCCAGTCAGAAGGAACCAGTGTCCACCAATCGTATGAAGACTATCACCTTTATTTGGTCTCTTTTAACAGGTCAGCAGGCTGTCACATTGCTATTTACTTCATATGAGACAGATGTGGAGGCCGTTATTGTGCAGAAGCTGCTTTTAAAAGAGCCTAAAATCTCTATACGTTGAGGGTATTAACATGCACAAAACCAGCAACTTGTCAAGTATTTCAAGTCACCCAACTACCAGCATCACAGTTCAGCTCAGTTTGTAGCCCAAGCATTCCTTTATCCCTGCTCTGGGCTTTAGTCCTGAAGCTCATACAGCAAAGATAGTTTCCTATGTGTAGGGAGCCTAATGCTGTATTTTTTCTTGTAGAATTTTTTTTTTCAGATTTCACTGAAATAGGGTTGAAAAACACTATCTCAAAAGTCAAAGTCTCTTTATTTGTCATAAGAACCACATGTGGTTCATGTGGTACATGAACAAAATTATGTACACAGGGTCCCAGTTACATCCAACAAAAGTATATGTAAAAGAAAAACAGTAATAAGTTCTAAGATATGAACTAAAATACGCTAAGCACTAGTAGTACAAAAACAATACGCCGAACAGCAGCAGCATGAATTATCCATCCATCCATCCGTCCATCTCTTACCTTAAATTAGCTAAAAAAAAAAAAAATGTAAAAAGAGAAAAAAGTAAGATCAAAACATGGTGGGCACTTATGAGATTGTAATTTGCTGTCCAAATTTTTAAAGTTTTATTTTATTTTATTTTTAAAGTGTATATTATTAAAGTTTAGATTTTTACACCTCAACTCTGCATTCCAGAACATGCCTTTTGAAACATTTGTTCTCCTTTCAAGTTTGTAGAACACCGTATTTCCATCAACTGACCAAAAGTAATCTCTTTTTTTTTATTTTTTTAGATGGAATAGTTCTTCAAGTGCATTTTTTTTTCTAAATGAAGAAATGAAGTATTTGTAAAGAAAAAAAAAATTGAGAAGAAGTCCCGGAAGTGTGATATTTATTTTTAGAAATAAAGAGAAGCAGCATCAGAACATGACTACACCTGATTCAGAAACATTACTGTAACAACAAAAGGCTAAGGACGCATCTCTAATTATGGGGGCGGGAACAAGTCCTGAAATTCTAGTCACACGAAGATAACTTTTTTTTTTAAACAAAGGTAAATGCTCCAATTAGAAACAGTTAAAATTTAGAGAACAACATATTATGAGATGCCTTTCTCTTATGTGATCTTCAGTCGCCTCAAAAACATACAGAGCAGGAGAAATCTTGGTCCGCTACTTCAAATCAAAAAACCTGATGAGTTTAATATAGGCCATAGATTATTAGATGCAGGTCTGAAAATATTGAGTACTTGTGTGCTCTGTTTGTGTTTTGGTTACATTACGCAAATCACTGCCACTTAGGGTGTTAAAGTAAACCAGTTAATTGAACGCAGTCAATGATTCTTTTTTTATTAAAGGGTAGAGAGAATGTAAAAAAACAAGACAAGGAGACAAGATGATTAAGTAGGTCAAGTAGCTCAGCTTTGTTTTTGCAGATAAATTCTATAATGTCTTTCAATTTCTGTCTTAGTCACTAGTGTGTCGTGAAAGCGTCTTTGTAAACTCATGCATTTCTTTCTTATAAGCACACAGTCTTCTTATGACAAACTAGGGTGCCGTTTATATTACAAGTCAGAGTTACACGCATCGCCACGTCATTTGTGTCAATTATTCAATAGCAATTACATCCTGGCTCACAAATTGGTTGTAATTTCTCCAGACAACGGTATCAGAAATAACATGGTCTCAAAAAACAAGCTTTTCAAGCTGTCAACAACACAGTCCAGACTTTCTATGAAAACCATATTTAGTGGCGATTCAAATGGATTTACCAGCATCAAACATTAGCGTGACCTAGTTTGATGTTTTTATTACAAAACACACACATATACACACCTATATGTGTGAGTATACAGGTGCGGCTCAGGATATTAGAATATTGTGAAAAAGTTCAACTTTTTTGTGTGAAACTCATATTTAGATTCATTACATTGAGTGAAATATTTCAAGCCATTATTTCTTGTAATTTTGATGATTATGGCTTACAAGTAATGAAAAACAAAACTCGGTGTCTCAGAATATTAGAATATTACCTAAGATCAATAAAAAAGATATTTTAAACACAAATGTCAGGCTTCTGAAAATTATGTTAATTTCTATGCACTCAATACTTGGTTGGGCCTCCTTTTACATCAACGTGGCACGGCGTGGAGGTGATGAGCCTGTGGCACTGCTGAGGTGTAATGGAAGCCCAGGTAGATTAGATAGCAGTCTTCAGGTTATCTGCATTGTTGGTTCTAGTGCATCTCACCTTCCTCTTGACAATAGCCCATAGTTTTTGTATGGGGTTCAGGTCAGGTGAGTTTGCTGGCCAGTCATGCACAGTAACACCATGATCTGAACCAGCTTTTGATACCTTTGGCAGTGTGGGCAGGAGCAAAGTGCTGCTGGTAAATTAAATCATCTCCATAAAGCTCAACAGCAGAAGGAAACCAAGTATTCTAAAATGTCCCAGTAGATGCTGCATTGACTGTGAACTTTAAGACCCAGTGTACCAACACTAGCAGAAGGCATGGCACCAAACCATCACTGACTATGGAAACTTCACTCTAGACTTCAAGTAATGTGGATTCTGGGCATCTTCGTTCTTCCTCCAGACTTTGGGTCCTTGATTTCCAAATGACAACCTGAATTTGCTTTCATATGAAAAGTGGACGATGGACCACTGAGCAACAGTCCAGTTCTATGTCTCCTCAACCAGGTAAGACACTTCTGACCTAGTCTCTGGTTCAGGAGAGGCTGGATTACAGGAATAAGACTTTTGTAGCTCATGTCAAGGATTTGTTTATGCATAGTGGCTTTTGAACTCAAAAAATGAGTTGAAAGGGTATTCTGTGGATGCATTCTCATCTACCTGCCAGCTGTGCTCGAGTGTCTGACCACTGAGATCCTGGAACTAGCAGGAAACATGGCTCATGACAGCGGAAGGACAGGATCGTCCCTCAGCACCTACAGTTGGCTGTCCACAGCAACGAGGAGCTCGGCAGACTGCTGGGAGGAGTGGCCATCGCTCTGGGAGGAGTTCGGCCCGGCATTCAGGCGGTCCTATAGCCTGGGGGAACCGAGAGGCCAGCCGAGTATGGGTGGACGGATCAGACGGCATCTGCAAACAGTTTCTTAGGATCCACTGTGGGATGGACCTTTACAAGAGATCCTTCCTGTCTACAGACATCAGTATATATAACATCTCTTAATGAAATGAGGATAACGAGTTACAACAACAATTAATTTCCCTTTGGGATTAATAAAGTATGATTGAATTGAATTGAATTGAATTGATGCTCAGTGCACTTGCTGTGAAGCTCTCTCAAATTATTTAATGGTTTTTGTTCTCAATCTTCACAAAGATGCAGTTATCTCTGTTGCTGGTGCACATGTTCCTACCATGCTTTTTCCCCTTACACTTAACTTCCTAAGAATATGCATGGACACAGTGCACAGTGCTCTGGGTGTTTCCAGAGCACTGTGTCCTGCTGTAACCTGCTTCTTTTTCAATTATCATTTGTGGCATTCTCTCCTTATAGAAGGTGTCAATGACTGTCTTCTGGACATCTGTCAAGTAAGCAGTCTTCCCCATGCATTCCTCGCACACTGTGCAGATCTTCACGACTGGGATATCAGTGTAACATTTGAGTAAGCCTGTGTGAACATCTTCCGTTGCAAGCAATCTGTGTTGAAAAATCTTCTCCCGTCTTTGAGTGTGGCTCCTTTATTTAAGTAGATAATGCAAGGATATTTTTATCCAACTATATATATATATATATATATATATATATATATATATATATATATATATATATATAGT